TATGAGGGAGAGGGTGAGGGGTAATGTAAACCACCAAATCAAATTGGTCTCGCCTAACATTAACTCGTAATGTCCTTCGAAATAACAAAACCAGTAATGTTCATTGTGACAGGTTATTGACAAATACGTTATACAATATTGGGCAGAAGATGAAAAAATTTCTGTTATTTGCCCTATGCCCAATTTTCATAACATCGAAACCTTTAAGTTTCTTCTACCAACATTAAGCTACATATTTTTTATTTTAATTAAAATTTTAAATATTTCTTCTAATCTTAGAACATAAAAACGGTCTTCATAAATAACGGAGACGTTCAAATATCGAATCCGGTTTTCTCGGAATTAAACATCGATTCTTCTACATCTATATCATCGCAAGAGGGAATGATAGGATTTACAGACCCAGTGCTCTTGAGAGATCTAAATTCAATTTTTACGAAAAAATCCGATATTTATAGTCTTGGCATGATCATGTGGTCTATTACAAGTGCAAAACTTCCATTTCAAAATTTTAAAAATCAAACTGCTTTAATAAATCACATATTGAATAACGCTCGTGAAGATCCTTTTGATGGTACTCCGCAGGCATTTCTTAATATATACCAGAGATGCTGGCAATTAAATTCAGATGAACGGCCAACAGCAAAAGAAGTGTATTTCGAGCTTGAGAGAATTTCACAAGAAATGCGTCCCCAGCTTGAGACAATTCCGCAAAAAGTGCGCCCCCAGCTTGAGACAATTCCACAAAAAGTGCGTTCCCAGCATGAAACGGTTCAACAAGGAGTGCATTCCCAGCTTGAAACAATTCAACAAGTGAATTCCCAGCTTGAGACGATTCCACCAAAAAAACCACTAAAAATAGATGGTGCGATATTTTAATTTATTACTACGTGACAGTCGCCGGATTTGCTGTTCCTATATGAAGGTGTACTAGTTATGACAGAATCGATCTCGCCCAGTGTCTGAAATTCAATTTTAAATTTTGTTGCGGGCCTGACGGGCTCTCAACTTAATAAAAAAAATGAACTTGCGGAATAACAAAATTTGGTTGCGGGATAATGAAAATTTTTATTGTGCCATAAATATATAACGAAATTTATATGCGGAAACCACATAGAAAACCTTAGGTTTTAGTTGCGGAAATTTAAATTTTGGTTGCGGCGCGCATGCTCCGCAACCCAATTTCAGACACTGATGTTTAGTGATGGGCAAATCGCGGATGCGGATTACGCGCGTGATGCGCGGGATAGTGTTTACCATGTGGGTTTCTTAAAATTTTGTTAATGGCCTGAATTAGGGAACATATTAAAAATCACGCGCATTTTGCGGCGTGATCCGCGCGTGATCTCACTACTGATGTCGTCCCGTGATATCTGAGCAATTAAAATCCCGCACAATAAGAATTCTCGACTACGGTAATGATAACTTCGGTTTCAAAAAATTAGTCTTCAGTGCGAATCGACTATTTTACAGTTCGGAATGGAAATAG